TTATTATAAGCTTTTATTTTTTCTGAAACCGGTGCCTTATGTTGTGTGACTTGTTTTCTCACACAATATTTAACAGTATTTATTTTTACGTGATCTCAGTCAGTCTACAATATTGGTGGAGCTGGAGATGGATGGGAACACTGAGCCCTTAAACTTTGCCCCTGGAGACCATGTGAGGATTTTCCCAGGGAACTCACCTGAATTAGTAGCTGGCATCCTAAAGCATCTGCCCAGTGCCCCTCCTATCAACCAGAGCCTTCGCTTGGAATTCCTCAATGATTCCTACCCTGGTACTGAACCATATAACCTAATTACATAATGGAAGTCTTACACATAATAACATAATGATACCTAATAATGTTGTCTTGCAGATGGTGAAAGGTGGCAGAGAGATGAACGAATACCACCATGCCCCCTTGTCCAATCTCTTACCTACTATCTTGATGTCACCAGCCCACCCTCACAAAGCCTCCTCCGCAAACTCTCAAAGACGGCAAGGCAGGAAGATCACAGGCAGCGCCTCTTAGCACTAGCAACAGTAAGTCATTTTTTGTTTCAGAACTAAGGATAAGAATTGCACAGAATTTAACAACTTGGTAACTTTGAGGGTCTTTTAGTAACTTTAGGGGATAAATATAGAGGAAAGAAATATATTATTTTCATAATACATTTTTTACAAATCCTTATAAAAGGCACATTTACACAGACTTTTTAATACATTTTCTCAGTCATAGAACAGACGACATTGATGACTATGTTTGATTTGCTAAAAAAGTCTCATAAGAATCGTTCATTTGTGAGTCGGCCTACACTGTTTGTATGTTTTGAGTTTGCTAAAACGAACCTCCAGTAGGGGTCTTTTTTCCGGAATTGGACTATACTGGTTCTGTATTTTTGATTCACTACAAAAGAACCAACTCATTTGACTCATTCATTATAGCTTCAGACTATACTCGTCAGTCGTCACGCTTTGTTTGATTCACTAAAAAATTATTTTAGACTCATTTTATTCATTAATGTGGGAATTGAACCACACTGGTTTTGTTGTGTGTTTTTGATTCGCTAAAAAGAGCCTACTCGTCAATCGTTAGAACGCCATCCCGAATGCACGTGGGAGAACCGTTAACAGACCCGAATGTCATTCAGTTCAAGTTAAGTTAAGAACCAGTTTAATATTGCATTTTAAAGGCAATATACAGTAATATATAATGTCTTGTGTAAATTAATTATTCATGCTGAAAAATCCAAAGTAGTATGCTAAAAGTGTCTTCGTAACAATGAACCTGCATATTAATGAAACACAAATTCTTTCATAAAAAGTCTCATTATAGCCTATTGAATGCGACGATTTACAAAAGAATGGGTTCATGAACACTTATGCTCATCTTTCATGAAAAATGTCTATTGTGCCGTGCGATTCAATGATCATGAATTGTTTTCAATGGAGTTTATTAGCTAAATACATACCAAGACATTACTCTTCTACAGGACCTCAAGGTTTACACAACATGGAAGGAGTTCCACAAACCTACATTCCTTGAGGTGCTAGAGGAGTTTTCCTCTCTGGAACTTTCTGCTGAATTTCTCCTCAGCCAGCTGCCTCTACTGAAGCCACGTCTTTACTCCATCAGCTCCTCCCCAGACCTCCACCCTCAGGAGCTCCACCTCACCGTGGCAGTGGTCAACTATCACACACAGGGTAGAGTAAACCATATTCCCAAAGATTCTCTGATCATTTATTAGTTGATACCTGAACAGTGGAACTTCCTAGACGTATACCTTCTAGAATCATTGAAGAAATGTATTTGTTGTTGTCATATGTCCTGCGCTGTTTAGAAGGAAAAGGTCCGCTGCATTTTGGTCTCTGCAGTACCTGGCTCAATACCATCAAAGAAGGAGACATGGTGCCATGTTTTGTCCATAGGTACCTTTCATTTCACATTCTCAAGATGTTCCTGAGAGTGAAATGCAGCCCAAGGTGTTTTCCCTGATCATAATTAACTAACTTTTCCAACAATTCCAGCTCTGACGGGTTCCACCTTCCAGCCGACCCTAGTGCGCCCTGCATACTTGTTGGAGTTGGGAGCGGCATTGCTCCCTTCCGTGGCTTTTGGCAACAGCGATTCTATGACTTGAAAAAAACAGGTATTGAATTCTACATTCAAGTCGTTTCAAAAAGTCCACTTAAATGTGTTTGCCTCAAGTTGTTGACCCTCAAGTTGTTATTTCTCCAAGGTCTGAAAGGGAGTCCGATGACACTTGTGTTCGGTTGTCGGGATTCAGATACTGATCATCTTTACAAAGAAGAGACTCTGGACATGAGAGATAATGGCACTCTAAGCAGTATCACAACAGCTTATTCTAGGCAGACTGGACAACCCAAGGTAGACAAACACAACTGTAGACGTAGTTATCTCGAGTGATTTCTATTAAGTATTACAATTATAATCTATAATAATAATATTGATTTTATTTTTGTATTATTTATTGTTATAATTTGTCAGTCTAAGCTTTTGTTTTTGAAACAGATGCCGTAGTATGTCTTTTTCAGAGGTGTAAAGTAAAAGTCCTCAAAAGGATTTGCTAATTAGCACAGTTTTTCAGCCAGGAGCTGACTGAGTTCATGGGTGGAATAAACATATGGCAGGACTTTTATTTTCTGACCCCTGGACTTTACACCTCCGGTCTTTTTGCTGATGTTGATAACACAAAATATGAATAATTACTTTTACCCGGATCTAAAAAATGATTCTGAATGGCTGTTAACATCCTCTGGTCTTTGCTTATAGACATTCTGCATTTGTTTTTGGTCCAGGTTTATGTCCAAGATATCTTGCGAGAGCAATTGAATGACAAGGTCTTTGAGGTTCTGCACCATAATCCAGGACATCTGTATATCTGTGGAGGCATAAACATGGCTCATGATGTGGCCACCACTATCCAGGAAATCTTAGTCAGCCGGCTGGGCATCACTCTTACTCAGGCTGAGGAATATCTGTCAAGGCTCAAGGTGAACCTTCAGCATGTTGACACATTTTATAGCTACTTCAGATAATAATGTCTTACAGTATTTATGCTCATATGAGGGCTCAGTTGCCCTGAAATGGTGAATTGTTTACAGTCTGTAATGATATATGGTCAATAATTTTAGATGGTTATGCTTTTTGTTCACAGAATGAAAAGCGTTACCATGAGGACATCTTTGGATCGTAGTGGTCGAGATCCCTCATCAATCAATCATATTTATTTATATAGCATGTTTAAAAACAACACACGTTGGCCAAAGTGCTTTACATACAGCCCAGCACATATAATCTAAGATTATAAAACAAAGTATAAAACAATTGCAAAAATTGAATTACAATCAAATGCAAGAGAGAAGAGATGAGTCTTTAAATGAGATTTAAATGTATCAAGGGTGACACAAGATCTAACATGGAGGGGTAAACTGTTCCATAAACAAGGAGCTGCAACAGAGAAGGCCCTGTCTCCTTTTGATTTTAGTCTAGACTTTGGAATGGTTAACTGAAACCTTTGTACAGATCTTAAAGGCCTAGAGGATGTATGTTGCTGAAGAAGTTCACTAATGTAACTTGGTGCCATCCCATTTAAGCCCTTAAAAACAAATAATAACATATTATATTTGATCCTAAATTTGACTGGAAGCCAATGAAGGAATGCGAGTACAGGTGTTATACTCTCATATTTCCTAGTCCCGGTCAAAAGCCTTGCAGCAGCATTCTGAACCAGCTTCAGACGTGAAAGTGATGCATGAGAAACACCATAGTACAACGAATTACAATAGTCCAATCTGGACGTAATAAAAGCATGCATAACAACTTCCAAATCATTAAAAGACAAAAAAAGGTTTCAATTTCGCTATATTCCTTTATTGGAAGAAGCCACCTCTAACCACTGAATTTATATGCTTATCAAACTTTAACTCGGCATCAAAAAGAACTCCAAGACTCCTAGCTTGATTATGTACCTTCGATTTAAAAAGGCCTAATTGATTGATTATATGTTTGGTAGAACTCGGAGGGCTAAACACTATCACTTCAGTCTTTGATTCATTCAAGTGGAGAAAATTGTACAAGATTATACCATCTTGATCTTTTCAATATCCAAACACACCAAAAAGGGGGACATTTTAATCTCATTATTTTCATACAGCTACCAAAATAATGCCAAAACCTCTCTTAACTAAGAGGAAGGAGTCAAATAAATAAGAAATCACCAATATACACTGGAAACACACACAAAAAAAGTAGCAGCAATGTATTTAATTGTGGAATGTACAGTTCTAATTATAGAGAACATTTTATTTCCTACTTGTAAATAAACTATTGTTTTAAAATGTATTTTTTATTTGTTTTTGGGAAGACTGACCTGCACCTTGTTAGACTATTGAGTAGTGTTTTTTATGGCTATAACTAATTGCAGGAACAAATCTTTTGGATACTACATTTGCCATGCTCAATAAAACAACAGGCATCTCCTCTATTGTGGGCTTCAAAAATCACAAGAACATCTGACCCTTTGAACCAAAACATTTTCATGTAGCCTACATGTTAAAAATGCTTATATAATCAGTCATTTAAAAATTGTGTAACATACTTTTTTTTCCCCTTGGGTTTCACTTTTGTTTGTCTATTCTTAGCTTCACATTTTCAGTTTAAACCATGAATGCCTAATTATTTGTAGACTTGAATTCTCTGTATTAATAATAATAAAAATAATAATAATAAGTTTAAACCATGAGGCTACCTTTATTCACTGTGTTTATTGTTATATGCTCCTGTGGCTCATAGTTTCTTATATAATCACCTCTCACAGTGTTAAGTGTTGTATAAAGTTGTAAATGGATGTTTATGGTAAATATTGCATCTTATAATAAAGTCAAGTTGGTACTACTAAGACACGGTAGTTTTATTTTTTATTCGCCTCCTTGTAGTTTGTCTATGATAGGTATCCGTAGTAACACCGGAAGTAGTGTATCCATGCTGCAGCAGAGAGTATTTTTAACCGTCTTTTTCATATCTTTTTATCTTTTCTGTTTTATAGATTGATATAATTAAATTTGTATTATCATATAGACATTATGGCTGGAAGTCGACTTGAGAAATTCGGGACTGTATTTACCCGGTAAGCATTAGTGACAGCATGCTTTTTGAGATCATTTCAAGGTTAATGAAAAAAAATGTGTTTAAACATAAGAGATCGGTTTACTTTCAAATGTATATTGTAATATGAAAGTGTACTAAGTAAAATCCTTTTATAATTACAAGAAATTATGAAACAAAGACATCTTGTATGTTGTAACGCTAGTAATTGCTTTTGGCAGTAAAAACTTTGACACCTTGAATCTAGAACAGAGCAGTGTTAAATGTCTTTTGCATGTGTTGCTCGTCATTCCTAACTATGTGTATTTAGTTCGAGTTCTCATTGTGATGCTGTTTGCAAAGGGTTCGTGATTTAATGCGAGCTGGAGTCATCAAGCAGGAGGAAAAGCCCATCTGGTTTGATGTGTATGCTGCTTTTCCTCCTAAGAGAGAGCCACTGTACGAGAAACCCGTGAGACCACTGAAAAAACATGCAGAAGATACTGTACCTGAAATCTTATACAAGGAGGATGAAATACGAGCGTAAGTCCAAACAAACCCGTCCAAAACGCGTATCATCTTAGTAACTTCATTTAAAATCTTTGCTTTCAGCAGTATTGCTCTCCACATGGTCATATACACTATCTTATGGTCACTCTGTGCCCTTCATTTGTACTTTATATTTCCCCCCAGCTATTAATGTTTGTGCCATCTCTGTTGATGAATTTATTATATATTTATGCCTTTATTGATTTTTTGTGTGTGTGTGTGTTTATTTTGATCTTGGTGTTATATACACTGCTGTTTAAAAGTTTGGGGTCGGTAAGAAATGAATACTTTTATACAGCAAGGATGCATTCAATTCATAAAAAGTTATAGTATTTAATTTATAATCTCACAAAAGATTTATATTAAATGCTGGTCTTTTGAACGTTCTATTCATCAGAGAATCCTGAAAAAATATCTAGCAGCACAACTGTTTTCAATATTGATTTATGATGATGATAAGAAATAGCACCAAGTACATTAGAATGATTTCTGAAGGATCATATGACACTGAAGACTGGAGTAATGATGCTGAAAATTCAGCTTTGCCATCACAGGAATAAATTAAATTAAAAATATATATTAAAATAGAATAGTCACTTTAAATTATAATAATATTTCACAATATTACAATATTGTGCTGCATTTTTTATCAAATAAATGCAGCCTAAAAGACTTTCAAAAACATAAACAATCTTGCCAAACCCAAACCCTTGAATGGTAGTCTACATATAACTTAAAATTATATTAACAAGGTCCCATATTTTACTGCTGTCAGACCCTTTTCGGAAAACACCTCCCAACTCATTTTGGGTCACGGCCCATCAGTTGATGATAACTGCATTAAACTTGCGTGCTTGCCGGAATCTGTACAGTAAATCTTTATGACTTTTTTTCTGTGATTGTAGGAAGTTCTTTGAGGTTTATGGTAATGGACCCAGAGCTTTTGAGCTCCTCAAGGCCAACTTTGTTTCTTCATGTCAGAGGTGAGTTTTATAATGGGGAAATTAAACATATTTTTACTGTACACTGAGTGTTGCCATTTAATTTAGTTGTTGTGTACTTCATCATTCAGGTTTGTGATGAAGTACAGTGAATTAGAAAGCAGAGGGGATGTCAAACCTGAGCTTCTGTTTGAAGAGACCGCAAAAGCACTGCTCACAGAGGGAGTTTATTTAAGAAAGAGAGGAGGACCTGGGGTGAGTCTGAGTCTGAGAGCTGATTTGTTCTTTCGCCTACTTGTCTCTTCATTGTCCATCATGTTTCTTTATAACCAGCAGGTGGCACCAGAGTTTCGGAACCCTTTGCTGAACATGAAGTTGACTGACATGTTGGCAGAGCAGCAAAGAGACACAGAGACGATTGTTCCAGAGAAACAGCCACAGGCAGAGACAGTGAACCCTGACGGCCAGACGTCGTCATAAATATACCACTTCTCCTTAGGACAACACAAACTGCTCCTGCCTCCAGCACACCAGCGTGCTGCTCAATCATGCGTTTTTGATGCGTCAAATACTGGGACACAGATATTGTTTGTTTTGTGGACACTATGCAGACCCTGAAGAGCAACATGTGTCTTTTCCCCTCTTGGTGTCAAATGAGTGATGTTGAAGACACGTTTGCACAGTCAAAATGGTTTTGGCTTGAGGTCTTTATAGCCAAGGAGAGACTTTATAATACAGATCTAGTAAGTGTTTCGTTTCTGTGAAAGTGTCTAATGTCTGTGTAATAAAATATGTGGAGTGTTTAATGAAAGTACTTTCAAGTCCATTAACGACATAAGTGGGAAAGTATCTGTGCTGTAAATCAGTGTTTCATTTCAAGTTTTCAGAGTCACTCTATAAACTTATGATTCTTAATGATATTATTCCCCCCCCCCCCCCCTCCCCTCTTTTTTTTTTTTTTTTTTTTAGTGCATCCTTGTTACCGATCCACTCTTGCATTTAAATACATCCTCAGCACAATTGTAAAAAAAAATATTATAAGAAAGTTTTTTTGTGATGTTTCAGTTATATAAAATCGATGGAGAGCTGATCTGCACAGACATCAAATTTCAAATTACTTCACAAATGCCATTGTCTTAAACTCCAAGCATTTTCCAACTCTTTCAGAGGTAATGTTAAACTGAAAATGTTTGATGTAAAGACTTACTGACAATTGCTCACTTGTGTTTGTAGCATTGTAGCACAATATAATAATAATTAGAGACAGACAAACAAACAGAAATGAAGAAATTATTTGACCAATGGAAGGTTAGTATTCTGTAATTGCCTAGACATGAATTAAATAAAATAAAAAACTGTGGTATGAACTGAATATACAATCTAATTTGGCAGAACATGGATGTTTCAAGCAGACCTCTTTTCCAAGATGACTGAAGGCTTTATTCGCTGCTGAAGAACATGTACAACATACTGAATAGTTTCTTTTTGTAAATTGTAACTATTCAATACAGGTTACTTTCAATATCCCACAAATGGCCTTGTGGGAATGTCCTTCAATAGCTATTGGTTAATCAATTAGGAATTTGTAAGACGATACCAGGAAACATGTGATAATTCAAGGATGTGAATCATTTTTGCAGCAGTAATTTAAAGAAAACAAAGACATGACTCATCAAATGAGCATGCACTTGATTGTTAGTGTTTGTTTTTGTCTCTAAAGACACCTCAAACTGCAGACTTCATAAAAGCACCACTTAGAGACCAGAAATCCCATTAGTGGGTAAATGTTTGGTTTGCTACTGACTTGAGTATCGGACCCAAACACATTTCACATTTTGTGCTCAATGATGAACAAGCAAAAAAATTGTTTTCATTTTCTATTTCCTTATTTTGATTATACCTTTGTAACATTCTAAAGGACTTCAAGTTTACATAGTATTGTGGCTACTAATTAAATTTTTTTTAGAGATTACTTAATCCAGTATGTAATCTCCAGGTTCAGGCCCTTCATTTCTGTCTAAGAGTAAATGGCTTCATACCATAATTATGTCAGTAACATTGCGTATGTTTCTCTTTTTGTGACACTAGCTTCCTAAAAGAAGGCATTTACCGTTGATCGCTAGATGGCAGTAATGTGATGTCTATTGACTCAAGTGTGATATCTGTCGGCTGTTTGTTCAAAACACAAAACACATCTTGGATAACATTTTACCCAGAAGTATTTTTTTCCCTCTATGTTGCAGTTTAATTTGTGTAATTTTGTCAGCATTAATGGTTTTTATATGTGTGTTTTCATGTGTGTGCGTCGTGTGTGTCTGTTGTGAAGGACCCAGATGCAACTGAAATTAGTGAAGGAGAGGCGTGAAAGTAGTAAAGGCAGAGGCGCGTGACGGACGCTTGGAGGGTGACGACTGCTCCTCAACACAACAACCGTTCAACAATTACCATGGTAACTAACCATAGTTCCTCTCGAAATACCATAGTTATTGTTACTGTCATAAAAAAAAAAACAGTAAATTAATAATAATTTCTTTCTTGGCTAATAGTAAGTATGACTGCCCCAGTCAAGTTAAAGGAGACTAGGGCTATCACGGGTTGTATGTATTTCAAGTTTTTATATAGTTCTAGTTGTGGTATTATTAGCCTAGTTTGTTTTAATATAAACAAAATGATAAAAGACGTAGGCCTATTATCAAGAAGTGAAATAAAGAAGTGAACACAAAACCTACACTACAAGCTGAAATCACTTAACTGCACATTGAGGTAATCTTTTGACTTCAGTTAAAAGCAATTTTCCCCTTGCACATAACAATAACGATTTTAATTAGGGTGCAGCTACAAACATACATTTATACTAGATTAATAAAAAAAATATATAACTGAAACAGTGATAAACAGCAAGCTATTTAAATAGGCTATCTATTTTGCTACAAAAAGGTTAACATGCAATCCAGAGAGTTTCTGGAACACTGAGTGATTATTAATTAAATTGCTGTTTTTTAACCAGTTAAAAGAAACTCTCTAAACAAACATGTTCTCTATTTGAGAGAGAGAGAGAGAGAGAGAGAGAGAGAGAGAGAGAGAGAGAGAGAGAGAGAGAGAGAGAGAGAGAGAGAGAGAGAGAGAGAGACGTTCTAGTAGAGCGTGTTTGATTGCTTCAGCTCGTTCCCTAGAAAGGCTGCAAACAGAATATAATGTCACACAAACAATACTTTTTCATGCTACAAACTACTACTTTTACACTACTGAAAATGTAGTAAAGGTGCTTGTCAGTACTTTGCACACATGATAACCAAACTTTCATGTTAAATTGACTCTTTGAAACCATAATGGTTGTGCTCTGGATGAAACTTGTGTCACTTTTGGACTGTCAACATCAAACATCACATTTGTAAAGAACACTTATATTTAATATCTTGTTATAAACATCACAGGACTAAACAAGCATTGCATTTGATTATTTGAATAAATACATTTAAATGAAAACCATTAAATAAGTTAACCTAAAACCATACATTCAAGTTAAATGAACACAAATGATTTTGATTCTATTGGTTTTTACTTGTTTCAATCAAGTCCATGATCCACTGTCCATGATTGACTCATGTTCAGCCAAAAAGCTATTTTCTAAGAGTGAAATATTATAGAACAAGGAATACTAATACGGTTTTAAAGTCCTCACTTCAGAATAGATCTGGTTCATTTACACATACGTTTTTTTTAATTTTAATGTCCTGAGATTACAACCTGCTTATTTGAAGTGTCCCTGGTTATGTCTTCTCCTTTGTTGTGTCCTGATAATGAGACATGATCTGTACACACTAGATGTGCACTACTGCTTCTGTCTGGTGGCCAAGCAACCCTTTGAGTGCTCCATCACCATAATCAATGGCAGGTTGAGCCGGCTGGGGTTTGAAGACCTTTACACAAACACTGTTTGTTTTACTTCTCCACGGCCACGGAGCTCAGAAGAAAGGCTGCCATCCAGTTGCCCTGGTCAAGGTATCGATTGGGACCTGCTTGTTTGTTGTTTTATTTATTTATTTGTTTATTCAGCACTGGAACTCTGGGATTCTCCCCTCTGCATATGTCAAGGGCATTTTTCTCATTCCTGGCCTACAAAAACTTCAATCTGCTTTGCAGTGCAGGCCTGCTGTACTGATTAATTGCATAAAGATGCCTGATGGTTTAAATTAGCCTGGTATATTACTTGAGAGACCTGAATTACCGTAGTTGGTCTTCCTCTCTCTGCTGAGGTCTGCACAAATACAGGCAGCTCACAATCCTTAACCTAAAATATGATGCTCTCCAAAAGGGCCAAGTTTTAAACATTTCCCCTATTCTGTCTACTCACAAAGTTCACAATCAAAAATATGGGCTATGGCATTTTTTAAAGGGGAGGTATAATGCCCTTTTTCAACAAGATGTAAAATAAGTCTCTGATGTCCCCAGAAGTTTTAGCTCAAAATACCTCCCAGATTATTTTTTACAGCATGTTAAAATTGTCCCTTTTTGAGGGGGAGCAAAAACGTGTCTTTGTGTGTGTCCCTTTAAATGCAAATGAGCTGCTGCTCCGGCACAGAGGGTGTGTTATCAGCTCAGATTACCTCACACAGACACGCACTAAAATGTCAGAAACTGTTCTGCCTTTTATGTTTAAACTGTAGTCGGACAATGATGGAGAGACTCAAGAAGAAGTGACAACACGTAGAATGCAACAGGATGTTCCTGAATGGTTAGTTGATGAATTTGTGTTGCTAATGTGGAGTTAACTATCTTCAAGTCTTTGATTGGCATATTCTGTCATGATAATATATAAAATCGCTCGTGTGGGAACTGTTGTAAGATGCCTAAAGAGTGACATGCTATTGCCGTTGTGTACGTACGGTATTGCATGTAAAAAAAAACCCGGATGCGACAGCTTGAGCATACTCACACATGTGCTTTACTACAACAACTATTCCTCTTCTCAACATGGACTGTGTCGTGTTCCCAGGGGCGGGGTTTATGTAAATTTTAGGGTTTGTGATGTCACTAACCCGGGAGGAATGTCATGTATCCCTAACTTTGCAGATGTTGTTTATGCTCAAACAGCAACATTACACACTAACTAAAGTTAGAAAAGTGAAATCATAATCAACCACCCCTTTAAACACTCACACTATAAAACCAGGGTTTTACAGCCTGATGTCAAATGATAAAAGTTGGAAAAACCTAGATATAATTATTCAGAATGTACATTATACACTGCATTTTTTATTTTCTTAAAGCCCCCATTGTATTCCTTAAAACTAATATTTGATCACCACAATTACATATTGAAACGTTTTTTTTTCCTTGAAAAAAATTCTTCATGCCTTAGCTTGAATATATCTCTACACCCTTGACTCATTTAGTATACACGGTTCTAGGAATATGCAAATTAGCCCCGTCTCCACTCACTCGCACCAGCTCAGAGATCCACTCGTTGACGATCACACATTGACGTGATTGGTTACAAGTTTGTGACATCAGAAACACCAGCGATTTCAGACTGTATTTTTGAGACTGTCTTTGGTTCACTGCAGTTTTAAGGAGAAAATACTCAGCAATGGTGTTGACTTATGCATTTGTACATGGTTTGTCTTAAAGCATATTAAAAACACCACATAGACATATAAACAACATAAAAAAAACCACAGGGGGACTTAATAAATCTAACACAGTTATAATGCATTATAATACACCTTTAATGTATTAAAACAAATGATATGCTGCGCACATGCTTTAATGCATTATATATATATATTTTTTTTTACATATTTACAGGTATCCATGCATATATATTGTATTATAATAGCTGTTAGTCATATATGACTATATAAAAACTATTTGTAAGATATTATCAAACATTTGCAGTACACATAATATAAACCTTTTACAA